GAACCAGAATGTAAACATCATTCCTGATCTTCCATTTTATGGTATTCTCCCCATACGGGGCCTGTCTTTCCGTCACACTACGATCAATTGTGTGACTGGTAAAGGCGATCTTTTCAGCTATCTCCGATCTTCCCGTATCTATTTTAATGCATAGTCGCTGATGTTCTTTGATCCTTGTGCTGACTGTCCTCCCCGTCTCTTTAATGCATTTTTGTTTACAGTCCTTGCAGTTTATGCTGCTAGCTCCAGAGCACTCTCTTTTGTTTATTTCCCTATGTTATGTGCGCAAGCTGGTGAAGGTTGTCATTTTCTTCAGAATTGTACGAATCATCCATTTCAATAGTATCGGCGGCAGCTTCCGAGCCAATTCGTAGAAGATTAGACATATGCATCGTTCTTCATCTGTTTCCCTTGCTTTCCTTTCATAATCCCCGTTCTTCCATCTGCTAATCACGATCCATATGCTGCATTGTATTGTTCCGTCTGGATATCCGTTTTTAAGAAACATCTGAGTTTGTTTTTCTAGTTTCTCGAAGATATGAAGACTGAGATCGTGCGGTCTTTTGTTTAGCCGTAATCTTCTTTACCCATATAGTGTTGGTTTGACCTCGTTTTCGCAACTGATTAATCGTCATGCCTCTGTCATTGTATTCGTGATTTCCAATATCGTTCCATTAACTTGATATGTGATATTTATCCTATAGGCTAACGGTTCACTCGTCTTTGTTATAAGGAATCCTAAAGTGAAATCGTTGTGGTTGGCTTGGTTAGAAGGCATCAAATTGCTTAGTAAGTCGACTAGATTAATGCTATTTATCCCCATTGTGTTGTCAACCCTTATGCTTGAATGATGAATATATCAACCGATTTCCATCTATCATCGATGGCGGTGTGCTTTCCAAAACTTCCATACAGCCGGTCTGAAGCATGCGTTATTTGTCATTTATCCCGAAAGCAGATGTCAGCAAGAAATTAATAGATTGCACACTGTGATTATATGGATATTGTGATTTAACAATCTTTACTATTTAGTCATTTGTTATTGATCATATGTGTGATTTATTGACTGACATATAAAATGGCTCTATCGTAGGTCCTACCCGGGATCTGGCGAAATTGCCTGAGCAGTAAAGTGCTTTCTGGATTTTGTGCCTTACAAATAATTTTCCTCGGTCACTTCTTCTCAAGGAGCCGGCTTTCTTTTTGGTCGCTAATAACCCGGCTGTTGGAGCTTGCTCTGCCCTTATCTCGCTGCCCGGCCTGGGACCAGGACTGTCTGGTGGAGTTCTGGTTGACGCACATAATCTTGGCAGTGAGGCAAACCAAGCAGACACAAAGCAGATGGATGAAGATATTGTCATCTCAGGGCATATAAACGGTTGGATTGTGGTCTGGGATCGTATCATCCACCGATCTGTCTGGTGCACCTGGCTGGCGCACTCTTCTGGTGTAGGTGGTGTGGTCAGTCTTCATTTGATGCCAGAATTAGCATATTGGTCAAGTGGCTCGCATCAGCAGATTTTGGTCTCGCAGGGTCGAGATGCTGCCATCCGATTTTGGCGTCTTAGCGACATTTTGTTACATGGCCCGGGGCCCTCTTATGCGATTGGTCAACGCCTTAACCGTCCACCCAGACAAGGTGAGTCGGCAAGGGTCAAAGCGGTTTAGACAGTATCTCTGCTGATCTAAATTTTTCTATTTACTGTGACATGACTCTCCATTCCGAAGGGAAAGTGATGTGGTCTTACCGGAAACTGAAGGACTGTTGAATTGTTCGAAGGAGTCTGACTCACCGTCCTGCGGCCCCGATGAAACTGTGCTAAGTTTTCGTCTGTACAGTAACAGACGTCATCAGGGCAAGTATCTATACCTTACGAAATAGAGCAAAAATATACTAAAGTAAGAGAAAAGGTGGTCGGCTACTAGCCTAGTCGCTTTTTTATACAACTAACTTCGAGATCTTAATGAAGTATCCCATGATTTGGTTGGCTATTCCAAATTTACTCTACCTACTTGCAATAGAGTGAAATTACTTCCCAAACTGGATGTGCATTTGGTGTAAACAGCTTCCTTACACAAATAAACTAGTGTACGATCCTCAAATGCTGATTAGTGGGCTTGTGCTATTGTCTATTGTGTGTTCGTAATGTTCATGTCATCAGAGGTGTGATAGTCCTAGCTAGTCTCGAGACGAATCCAGCCTCCGTCTTTTGTTCTGTAGCTCTTCCTGCACTCCCTCTATCTTCCCCTCCTTAAGTCTATCCAACAGCGACAAATAGTTCCTACTTATTTCGTAAGTGAATAGGATTTCGAGACTACGAGTAAATCAGATATAGAGTTTTATTCACACTAGTTCGTTTAAGGTGATGATGAACTGGAAGTACATTTTCTAACAATGATATTGTTAGAGCTGACGTTTCCATTGAATTTCACATAGCCTTGCTTTTCCAAAAGATGTTCTCATCTAAGGTGGACTGCAGTTTCGCTGTAGAGTAAGGTTGCATAGAACTAGCCTCATTAAGATAGCAAAGTTAAGTGTTTAAATAAGCGACTAGGTTTGCATTGGCTACCTTTTCGCTTGGCTTAGTATATTTTTGCTCTATTTCGTGAAGTATGGAAATCTGCTCTGATAAAAGCTTAGGACAATTTCTTCGGGGTCGCAGGACGGTTAGTCGGGGACTTCTTCCCTACGTGGCAATTCTCCTTTGATTTCCGGTGTGAATTCTTCACGAATTCCTTCCAACCAACTTTCCTTTATAAATGGAGGGTCACGTCACAATATTTCATTAATGAATTATTCTAAACCCAATTTTTCTTCATATTTTATGTTTATTTCCTAGAATGGCTCCAAGCCTTCATCACGGCTCTGGCAGATATTTATTTCTTTTTCTGAAATCTTAATCTTCTAATCTTGATGATTATGTCTTGCAAAGACTTTCTCATTCAACTCGAACTTTAGTAAGTTTAATACCAGTCTCATAAAGGAGAAACATACGACCCGGTCATTGTATTTTGCTTAAATTTAGACCTTGTTTGACTTGACTCCAGATAATTAAGTTCTTGATATGAAAACTAAGATGATGCGACCTTTGACAGTAGGACCTCTTACTCTATTTATTCACATTCGTTTCGCCGGCATCGTATTTTTGGAGAATTCTAGCTTGACTTAATGATTATTGCTTCTCATTAAAGATTCTGACTCCGATGCTGTGATTTCACCAAGTAAATTC